CTACACTGAGCTTTGAACTGTTGTACTGAGGGAGCTGGACAAAGCATCAGCCATAAAATTCTTCCCTCCCGGAATGTATTTCAAAGTAAAATTGAACCTATTGAAATGTTGAGCCCAGTGCATCTGTTTGGGAAACAGCTTCCTGGGGGTTTTCAACGCCTCCAAGTTCTTATGGTTAGTCCACACCTCAAAAGGGTGTTTAGCGCCCTCTAGAAAATGGGGCCAGGTCGTCAAAGCCCAATGAACAGCAAAAGCCTCCCTTTCCCAAATAGCCCAGCGTCTCTCAGTGTCGGTCAGCTTGCAAGAGGTGTAAGCGCAGGGCTGTAATTTACCCTCATTTGCTTGAAGTAGTACTGCCCCCACCGCTACAACACTGGCATCAGCCTGGACCACAAAAGGCGCATCCATGTCTGGGTGTTTCAGGACAGGTTCCTCTGGAAACAGGCGTTTCAACTTTTCAAAAGCAGCCTGACATTCCATAGTCCAGTTCAATGGTTTGCTAGGTTTGGGCTTTGCTCCTCCTTTCGATTTAAGGAGGTTAGTGATAGGGAGAGCTATCTTAGCGAATGAGGGAATAAATTGACGATAGAAGTTAGCAAACCCCCAAAACCTCTGTAATTGTTTATGTGTGCGTGGGGCCTCCCATTCAGTGACAGCCTTAACCTTTGTTGGGTCCATTTCTGTTCCCTTGTGGGAGATCCGATAGCCCAAGTAATCAGGCCACAGTTAAAATTATTCTATATTCTGAAAAGTTTATGTGAAATGTATAATATATTTGTGAAATAGTTAGAATACCTACTATGAATAAAATATGCATTTATATTTTGCATTGGCAAAACCGACAGGTTTGTGAGCCTGAAGTTCTAAACATGCTTCATGCACAAATTTACTTAATGGACTGAAGTCAGGCTATTCTGAAGCCAAATCATGACTGTATTTTCCTCCAGTGTGAAAGCTCTAGACAGCGTTTACTCAACATTGTCAAGCAGGAAGAGGCAAGATGTATATGGATTTCAGAAGACTTACTTGACTGCCCAGTTTGCTGTCTCAGGTAAGTAGTGGAAGCAACACCTAGTTAGAAATAATAAATTGTAAATGTATCACTCCATAATACCATTGCAGATGTAAGGCAGATCCATCTGAGACATAGATTCCAAGAAAGAGATATTCTTTTCTGTGCTTTATGGAAAAACAGTATTGGACTAATATTAATTCTACTATTAATACATATATATATGGGTGATTAGGGATAGATAGATAGATAGATAGATAGATAGATAGATAGATAGATAGATAGATAGATAGATAGATAGATAGATAGATAGATAGATAGATATCCCTAATCACCCATTATTAAGTTCTAACCTTCCATTGTTGTTCATATTTTTATACATATTTAGTAGTACAGTCATTCGAAATCTATTTTTCCAATTCTTCATATCCATTTATATTAAAACATTATCCTGATATCTATCACTGTTAAAATAATAATCCAACCTGTACAGTTCTGATATTAATACACATTATTGAAATATATTTATAAAAATATTATTTTAGTCTATTTTCCCTTATCCATTCTCTCTTACCCACATTCGAAACTTTAATCTTACTTTCTTTTTAGTTTTCCTCCCTTATTTGTCCCTTAGGTCTTCTATTCCCTCTATCTAACTTTTTCTCCCAACTCTACTCTTTTCCACTGTCTAATTCCAGAACTATCCATTCCACCTCCTATCTCTTTTCCCCAGTTCTCTTCCTGTTTCTCCCACTCCCTTTTTAGGTCTTTTACATTATTTCCTTCCTTTTTTAGTTTCTTAATCACTATTCATTTTGGCAACATCCCCTCCTTGTTATCTTCTTGCTGATTTCTCTCTGCTTTCCCCTCTGTTTCTTCTGGTGGCTCCATTCTTTCTTCCTTGTCCTGATCATTGTCCATTAGTCTTTGTATTACATTTCCCTATACAATCAAATATTTTCTCAATGTTTTGAAAAAGCTCCATTCTATTTAGGTTCTCCTCACTTCCATCTTGTGTTGTGTCTGTGTTTAGTCAATCTCTTTTTTAGTCCACTGTTCAGAGTTCATTAATTCAAAAAGCCGAACTTCCAAGTCACAATTGTAAATATCTCATCAATAGTCCAAACAATTTAAATTCACCAGGGGGTTATCCAAGCCTCTTCAAATTACTTTATATGTTCAATAATATTCAATGATGTTGAGAGGTTCTTAACTGAGGACTTTAGTTAATAATCCAATCTCTATTGGTCTTAGAGTAGGTCTCTGTCCAACAGATATTTCCAATCTTTTTGAAGAGTTATTTCAAAGCTTGCATATTTCCCTTTTCATCAGCAGATGGTGCTCTCGCTTCTGTCAGCTTCAGCCTCTCTACGATATCATTGACAGTTCCAATTTCAATTATTTTTAAATTATAAATCCAATAATTGAGCAATGTTTGTAAAGTGAAATTTGGGTCTTTAATTCCATCATTTTAAAATGCTCACAATATCATGTCTTTTAGCTTTGAGTTTCTATTTGTTATTTTAAAAGCCAATTTTTTCCTTCTTCAATTCTCTGATATTTTTCCTATTTGCCCATTCGCAGCTTCAACAAATAGCTTTAAATATGCTTCCCCCTTGGATTTCTGAGGTCAATTTCCAATAAAAAATATTTTCTCACACAGATCACACTCCATTCCGCTCCAGCACAATCTTGGGTTTTCAGGCTGTCCCTGGCTTCGTGGTGTCTATTTTGACTGCTGCTGTTCCTCGTCTTCAGATGAGGGGGCTTTCCAAGTCATGGAGGAGATATGCGGTTCTCCTTGACCTGCCAGGCAGTCCCCATTACTTCACCACCCCTTTAGGGTCCAAATTTGGACCCTCTGACAGGGAGAGGTTGGAGGTGACTGCAGAGCTTACAGGTCAGGCTTCCGAAGGTGCTGGAAATACAACTGGAAGTCCCTTCATATCTGCTTCTCCATCTCCATATTCCTCCTCCTCTTTGTACCCCTCCATTTGGCCACTGAACAACCATTCTCAGTTATGAATTATTTACCTCCAATTACTGACCTTGTCTGGAAACTTTATTTAATTAAACAAAAGTGAGGAGGGGAATTAAATGTTTCCAGTTTCTGTGAATGGAACTCATCATTTAGATTTTTTTATCAGATTTATTTGACTAGCCATCTATTCAGTGAAACTCTGGACAGCAAACAAAATAATAGCAATGTCAATAGCACTTAGACTTATATACTGCTTCACAGTGCTTTACAGCCCTCTCCAAATGGTTTACAGAATCACATGTTGTCCCCAACAATCTGGGGCCTCATTTTACGATCTTGGAAGGATGGAAGGATGAGTCAATCTTGAGCCAATGAGAATCAAACTGCTGCCAGTTGGCAGAATCGGCCTGTAAAACTGCATTCTAACCACTGCACCACCACAGCTCAAAATAAAAACATCAACCAACTATAAAACACAACCATTGGGGAGAGAAGTCCTGCAACTATGTAGGACCTTGAAGGTGGCAACCAAACCTTGAATTGCACTTGGACACATACTGCAACCCAATGCAACTCTTGTAGCCATGATTTTATATGAGTGTACAGGACCTTAATGCTCCCAATATTGCACGTGTTGCTATACTCTGAACCAACTGAATCTTCCAAATATTCTTCAAAGGTACATTGCAATTGTCTAATTGGGAGGTGAAGTGTCAGTGACCATAAGTAAAGCCTCCCAATCTAGGAATTAGGTGCAATTGGCATACAACATATATTTCTGCAATGGCCATCAAACGTCTAACTGCTATTGCTATTGCTATCTTTTACTAAAAGTTAGTGGTTGCAGTAAATGCAAAGCTAGAACAGAGTATTCCTATACAAAGGTATAAGTTTTCCCCCTTCCATGGGCCTCCCCCCTCAACCAGATTATCAGCATCCCAGTGTGATGTTTTGGGAACCACTTTGATTTCAGCCTTGTCTTAAAATGGCTTTGCATCCCAAAACTAGGTGTCTTTTCGCGACTGGATCCACCCAGTTTGGTCTGGATCCACCTCTGGTCTTTGTCAGTGCCCACCCACCCCCCTTTATATCCTCCTGCACAACTTTCCCAAAATGCTTTGCCACCCTCCCTCTGTTAATGGCAGGATGCCAGCCAGCTTAGCGAAGCGTAGTGAAGATGCTGTAAGGACCTGCCCCAACTGGTCCCTCAGGAAAGCAAAACTATTGACTCCATTGAGTTGAATCAAAATAACTTTTACTGAGAGAAAGTAGTTGCAGTGAAATCAGGCAAAAATCTGAAGGTCCTGTGCAAAGCACAAAGCAATTGTTCTGTTTCCCCAAACCAGTGGTGGGTTTCAAAAATTTTGGGAACCTCTTCTGTAGATGTGGCCTGCTTTCCGGGTCCACTGGTGGAACCTCTTCTAACCGGTTCGGTAGATTTGACGAACCGGTTCTACCGAATAGGTGCGAACTGGTAGGAACCCACCTCTGCCCCAAACCCAACTCCTCTGACCAATCCACAGGCAGCCAATGTGATGCCATTCCCAGTGTTTTGGGAACACTGAGGTGCTAGGCAGATAACAGGTCACTCTCAGGCATGACAGCCTTTGAACCAGGCTGGAACCAGCTGGGTGGGAGTTTGCTTCATCTCCGAAGGCATCTTCCTAACTCCCAAGTGGTTACAGCAAAAACAAAAGCATGCAAAAATGCCAGTGAGCCTTCCTCCCTCCCCCTCCAACAGAATGGCAGGACACAATGGTGACATGCTGAGGCCCTGAACAGCGATGTTAGTCCTGCAGAACAAAACAAATAAACAGGGAGAGAAGAAGGTAAAAGCAACAGAATATCATTTATGTTTATTGGGATACTAGCTGTACCCGGCCACGCGTTGCTGTCTGGTTAAATGGAAAAGAAAGAAAAGAGAAAGCGCAAGTTTCTAATATGTTTAATATGTTTAATTTTGCAATGCTTGTGTGTATACAATATTTTTTGTTTTTTTTAGTAACACAACCCTGATGGCCACGTCACTTTTTTTAAAAAAAAACTTTTATTAAATAAACATTAAAACATTGGACATAGAGTGACCTTTCTGGCCTTGTCATTTCCACACATATTTTAGCATAACATCAAATAAAGCTTCTACTTATTGTACATAGCTAGTTTGATCTTATAAACATATCCCTTGTCCTCCTTTGTATATTTGTCTAGGTATTATCCAGTTCCAATTTTGCAAATCCTCAGTATATTCTGTTCCGACTCCTTTTCCTCATTTCCAACCATTGATACATTTTGTTCCAAATTTCATAATATTCTCTCATCTTTATTTTTGATTTCTAGTGTTAGTCTGTGCATTTCTGCACAGACCAAAATTTTCTTCATTACTGCATAAACCAATCTTGTTGCGGTTATGACATGCAGCATTAGATATATCAATCATTTACTATATTTTTCTTTTGTAATTCTTAATAGGAATAGTTATGGTTTTAAGTCTATCTTTTGATCTAACATCTCTTCCAACCATGTCTTTATCTGACGCCAAAATTCCTTGACTTTTGTACATAATCACCACATATAATAAAAAGATCCTAATGGCCAAGTTACATTTTCAACACTGCAGAGATCAATTCTTATTCATTTTTGCTAACCTTGAAGGAGGGAGGTGCCACCTATAAAATATTTATAAAATAGTTTTCTTTATACAAGATGGCTAGTGTTAATTTCTTATTTCTCTCCCATACATCTTGCCAGTTCAATATTGTAACCAAAGTTCTTGGCCCACATTACCATAGTTTCCTTCACTTGTTCTTCCGCCATTCTATATTTCAATAAATATTGATAAATTTTCTTATCACCTTTTCATCAGTTCCTAATAAAATTTTATCCAGTGTCATTAATTCTTTCTTGATACCCCATTCCTTTCTATCTTTCATATAGCATGATTGAATTTGCAAGTATTCCCACCATTCCAATTCTACTTCTTCTTTTGTAATTCTTTTCTATATTTTAATTCCCCTCTTTCACTTAATATATTCTTATATGTTATACTTTCCCCGATTTAATAAAGTTTGGGTGTACCAACACTTCAACTTAGAGACCCAAGCCCGGATTTCCATATAGTTTGCAGTTTTACTTTTATCCAGTTGGGATGAACTGGTGGCTCTGCAATAGCTTCCTGTTTCGGGGTGGGGCCCACTCCCAACACTGCTTGGACTTTCTTTTCTTTTTTCAATTCCTTTGTGTGAGATTGTGATAACCTAAATAGTCTATTTTGCTCTGGTGAAACTCTCACTTGAAGAATTTGGTGTTCTACTTAGTGACTTGTAGTTTTTTTAAGTACAGTCCTCACCAACATTACATGTCCACCTTTGCCTTGGTGTAAACTAAAATGTTATCTAAATACACCAATACCCTGTTGTACAGGTGCTCATTGATTAATTGCATTAAAACACCAGGGGCACTCTGGAGGCCAAAAGCGAGGACCTTGAACTGGAAACACCCTAGCAGACAGTTGAAAGCTGTTTTCCCTTCGTCCCCCTCCCTAATCCTGACACAATAGTAAGCTTCTCACTGGTCCAGTTTAGTGAATATCCTGCCCTTAGCTAAATGGGCTAATGTGTCAGGGAGTAGATTTGGAGTTCCCTTGTCCCATTTTGATGACATTTTGAAATTGACTATCTCCCTAGCCTTTGGCACCTTGGTGGCCTTCCCTGCAGGACCCAGAGTGGTTTTCTTGGCATGACGGTTGGTCTTGCACTCCACTGTCTGGTGCCCTTCCTGGCTGCATTTGAAGTGGGCAGTGAAGCATGGCTGCAGGTTTTGTGCTTTTGATGCCTCTGTCTTTTCTGCGGGTGAATTTTTCCATGATGTGTCAGGTGATAGTTGCTCTTTACAGATTGATTTCTACCTATTCCACCAAGACATACCAGTCATAGAGAATTGAATGAGCTCTCCTAAGATGCAGGTGTTGTACAAATTGCCTGTCAGATTTCCTAAAAATGCCCTAATTGATTCATAAGTATCGAGTCAAGTTTTCAATACAAAACCAATCATTTATTAGGAGCACCATTAGACAAGCTCTGTTCTCAGTCAAGCCTCTGCTTTGTTTGATTTATCTCTAACTTTACCCCTGTTCCTTCCCTCCTCTCAGTCTGTGTCATATTACTATAGCCAGTTGGGAGGGGTGCACCTTATAGTGCAATGTAATCACATTACCTTATAAGATGCACCCCTCCCAATCAGCTACAGTAATCTGAGATCTGACTCCAGCCAACAGTATGCGTGGAATGCACACACCCCCATTCTGTCCCCATGACAACACTGAGAGTTGACATCGTCGTACAATCCATCCTTGAAACAGCTGATGAGGATGTCCTCCAGCCAGTCATTGAGTCAACATGCCAGGTCATGGAACTTTTCTGTGTACTCAGCCAACACTTTGCAACCTTGGCGCACAGTTTTGGTGTATTCCCTACATGATTTTGATGTAGTTTGGATGTAGCTAGCAGTTCTTCAAACCACCAACAACTTTGCTCAATCAGCAAGTTGCCAGCCTCTATTCTAGATGACATCAAAGTGATATAGAAAACATTCCTTTGCTGCCATCTGGTGGACGTCCAAATATTTGTGTCTTAGTGAATGAACTTTATTAGAGCTTTCCTTATATGAAATCTAATCACTGCCTCTTTTGCAGGGTCAGCATGTGATGGAGGGACGATTGATATCAAAGATCTACTGTTGAAGAATTTTGGAAAGTTTTGTTCGATGGCTAAACTAAGTGAACTTCAAGCTTTTTACCCAGAACTTAATGGAGTAAGTTTTTCAAATCAGTGTCCCTGAATAAGAACTCCTCCTCTGCTATCTGATAATGTTTGTTCAATCTTTAATTTTTGAAAATTCAGACAACTATCTTCCCTAACTGTTGTAATAATAACCCAATTATTGTATTATACATAAATGTTAGTATATTCTCCTTCTGGGATATATTATTTTCTTCTCCCAGTATATACTAGATTTCCAAAGTCTTTCGCCAGTTAATGCCAATCTATTAGTCAGGAACTCCTATCATATTCAGTTAATGTGGCTCTTGGCTGATTTATTTTCAGTAAAATCCTTTTCAGGTCTTAACCGTCATACTGCTATAGTCAAACCTGGTTTTGGATGCATTTTTTAAATGTACTCTTACAAACCTCTCTGTCTCTGCAAGAAAGCCAGTTTGGTCTAGTAGACAGGTTAGAAACTGGGAAACTAAATTCTAATCCCACTTTAGGCATTAAAGCTTACTGGGTGAGTTTGGGCCAGTCATTCTCTCTCAGCCCAAAAACAGGAGGAGGAAAGAATATGAAGTATGTTTGCCAGTTTGACTTATTTATAAAAATAGTAAAGGTGGAATAAAAAATTACACACACACACAACACAACACAACACAACACAAACACACATATGTATGCGTTGTTTTATCATTGTTTTCCAATCAGATAACAGTTTCATCAGGCTTGCTACTGAAAAAAGACACTTGTCATACAAAAATTGTCCTTTTTCAACTTTGAATTTATTCTTTGTTTTTCTTTTCTTCTTTTTGCATCTCCAATTTATAGATTATTTTAAATTTTAAATAACAGCTTGTTTGGTAACAGAATTGCCTTTCCACCAATATCCTACCTTTAAGTGGTTAGGGTGCAGTACTGCAGGCCACTTCAGCTGACTGTTATCTGCAGTTCAGCGGTTCAAATCTCACCGGCTCAAGGTTGACTCAGCCTT